CGGGGTTTATGTAGGGTTTGGGGGGACCGTTCTAACTCACGCACACCGCACCCTCTTGGGGGGGTCTCTTCGCACTCCTGGTTCATCAACTGCATGAATCTCTCTTCACCGTTGTGGGTGCTGCGTCTTAAAACTCAAAAGGGTCTCTGTCGCGGCTTGCTGGCATTTCTCTTATACAGCGACCCTAACTGAGAACAACCTTTCGGGCCTGTGAGGGAAGTTGACTTGTTGCTGTTCAGGAACATAGCTCTCGAACATCACAAATGAAACCACAACATCTGTGTGGTGGCAGCTTAAATTGCGCCAGCCCCCGCCCCCCCAAAAAAAACATGCCAAAAAAGCTCCAAACGCCGAAGCCCTCAAAATCCCCAAAAGTCCCCCCACTCCCTGGCTCCCCTAAACTACTAGTTGCTTAAGAACCTCCCAAAAACAAAGAAGTCTTCTTCCTGATAAGGGCATAACATGGGGATTAACTATCTTCTGCTTTTTGGGCTTCGTAAGCAAATGGTAAGGGAAACCCTAAACCCTAAACCCTAAACCCTAAACCCTAAACCCGAAACCCGAAACCCTAAACCCTAAACCCTAAACCCTAAACCCTAAACCCTAAACCCTAAACCCTAAACCCTAAACCCTAAACCCCTACCCCAAAATAGCAAAGGGAAACCCTAAACCCTAAACCCTCAACGCCCCGCAATTCCCAAAGCCGCCGCGCGGCAGCGCTTGGGCGTCGATGAAGGCAGCCACGCCCGTCGCCGCCAGGAGGTACAGGGACTCGGCCACGAAGTCGACCTCAACGGTACTGCCGTGGGGGGGGAGGGTTTCGGGTTTAGGGGTTCAGGGTTTGGGGTTTAGGGGTTAGGGGTTTAGGGTTTAGGGTTTAGGGTTTAGGGTTTAGGGTTTACTGTTTATGGGGGGTTTTGGGGGCGGCGGAGGTTAGGTGTTATAGGCCAATGGGCTGAACTTAAGGTATGGACTCCTTGTGTGGACGAACATCCAAGAGAACCGAGCCGCTATCAGCACATTCTGCACTACCAAATCTGCACCAATCGAACAGTCACTCACCAAGGCTTAGGCTTCTTTGCCCTAAACCCTAAACCCTAAACCCTAAACCCTAAACCCTAAACCCTAGACCCTAAACCCTGAAGCTTCACACCTTTAGACTCTTGAGCACACCCTAGTCGAGCCTTGCGGACTTTCCCTGTCGCACCCTCCATTCTGAGTCTTGTGGTACAAATCAGTCAACGGCGTCAGTATTGTTACTACTATGACTATTGTTTCATTATTACGATTATTACTTTATTTATTATGACAATTATTGTTGTTACTATTATTCTTACTATTCTGACTATTGAATTATTAATATGATCACTATTAATACTACTATTATTATTATTATTAGTAGTAGTAGTAGTAGTAGTAGTAGTAGTAGCAGTAGCAGCAGCAGCAGTAGTATTACTCTCGCTTATGTTGCCAATCTAGCCCGTTCTTGGCCCTTGGGACGTATCCCCTGGGGCTTCGGCAGGTAGGTGCCACAAGGAGAGCGGTCCCAAGAGACCTGGCCGTTTAGGGTTTAGGGTTTGGGGTTTAGGGTTTAGGGTTTAGGGTTTAGGGCTTAGGTAAAAGGGTTGTTGGGTAGATATCTACCCTCTTCTGTGGCTCTTTAAACGAACTGGCGCTTCGTCGATGTTGAAAAGGGCCCAGTACCCCTTCCTTAAGGCATAGGGCCTTAATTGAGAAAGGCATCCCGAAGATGATTCCAAGGCATAATTCCTCCATTGGGCGGATAAAAAGTGGCCTCCGAGGCTCGCGGCCAACGCGACGTTGAGCAGCGCCGACGCCTGGGCTTGAGGAGTTTTCAGGGGCCTTTAGGCTGTTAGGGTTATTTGGGTTTAGGATTTAGGGTTTAGGGTTTAGGGTTTAAGGTTTAGGGTTTAGGGTTTAGGGTTTGGGGTTTAGGCTGTTAGGGTTATTTGGGAGATGTCGGGGTCGCGAGGGTTTTGTAAGAGTTCCTGGATTGCGCGGGCTTTAGAGAGGCCGTCGGAGCAGGCCACGTCTTGACATGAACACATTGACGAGTTTCGACGGTGTTCACAGCAAAGCCGACCACCGACTCATCATTTGCATAGCCATGTCTGGTGTGCACAGCTGCCATCCCAGGCTGTCTTTACCCTACTTGGAGGTTGATTGTACTTATCAACCAATGATAACTGTACTTAGAACCCACTTCTAAGCCCCTTAAGTGCCCTAATGTGGTTATAAGTACAGTTCTAAGTACAGTTTTAATTGGCTAACAAGTGCCATGAACCTCCAAGTAGCCTCAAAACCCTGGCAGGCCTGTTGCGGATTTATAGCCCATGCAACACCTTGCCCTCAAGAAAAGAATCGCGAACAGGTTTCCTTCAATGTCGCAAGGGGCGTTGAGGGGTGTACAGGAGTTCTGATCGCAAAGGCTCGAAGTCTACTTAGCAAGTAGGCGCAACCCTAAGTGTGTAGCTTGGGCATTTTTTTTAAGCGAACCGTCATAAGCGCCCTAAACCCTGCAAACCCATGTAAAACTCCCAAACCTCCTTAAACACCCTTAATCCCCCCTAAAGCCCACGCCTAAACCTCCCCAAGCCCCCTCAACCCGAAACCCTATGTTCGCCAGCTCAGATCCCAGAAGGGGGTCTTCCGGCTGGGAGGTGGGTCTAGGGCTTACTAAACCCTAGATCCGCTCAAGCGTAAACCCTGCTGGGCTCACGAAAAGGCTTTTGGGGCTTTTGAGCCCTCGAAATCTCAAAAGTCGCTCGGCCCCTGGCACCCGCCGGAACGGCGGTGATCAAAACCAGCAGGCCCTCCTTCGAATGGCTGACATCACTTGGGTTTGCAAACTTGCAGCCCCTAAATCCCTAAACCCTAAAACCCTAGATCCCAAAAACCCTCAACCAGGTCCGAAACCCTGAACCCCCTAAACCCATGCCAGGTTGGTAACTGCAAACCCTAAACCCTACTGTAAACCACTAAACCCCTAGGATTCTGGGCCAGGTTGGTGCCACCCTGGTAGCACTCGCATATGTTCAGGTTTTGGGGTTACAGGTTTTGGGTTAGGGTTTAGGGTACGAAGAGAAAACGGAAGTGAGAACTCTTTGTTATGCTGATATAGACTGACTGTTGGCTGAGTTGGTCCACGCGCAGATATCAAAAATGGAGGTATGCATGTAAGTGTGTATGTATAGGTATGTATGTAGGTATGTGTGTAGTTTTGTATGCAGGTATGTGCGTGTGGCTTCTCCATTGTTGGGGTGCATCAATGTCCGAAAGGGTTTAGGGGTTCAGGGGTTAAGGGGTTTAGGGGTTTAGGGGTTCAGGGGTTCAGGGGCTTAGGGGTTTAGGGGCTTAGAGGCTTAGGGGCTTAGGGGCTTAGGGGCATCTTTAGATCGAGAGGTATCTAAGGGTGGAGGTGATGGGCCCTCAGTGCGGTCCCTTACCCTTGTCTAAAGGGATCCGAAGTCTGGGCCCTGATCATGTAGAGTGTATATGAGGGTTATAGAACAGGGGACCCAAATTAAGGGCCCACGCTTCGGATCCATTAAGGTAGATAGATGTATGGGTGTTTGAAATGCCAAAACAGTCGTTGGAAGGTCATGTAGGGCCCCAGCCATGCCAACCTCAGACACACGCACACACGCACAAGCATGCACCCGCACACCCGCACACCCGCGCGATCCTCTTCTTCTAAGCAAACCTTACATTCCTAAGATTTAGGGTGTAGGGGCTGAAGGTTCAGAGAGCTCATCATACAGAGCCATAGAATCCTCATCCTCGCCCTCCAGCGAGCGAAAGGCGCGGCGCGGGCGCCGCGGCGTGGGTTGGGGCACGGAGTCGCACGGAAGCAGGCCCTGTCCGGGAGCACAGGCAAATTGCTCATTACAGCTGCCCTGGTTACCCCTGTTTGCGAATACAAATATACATTCCCCACAATACACCGCCTGGTTGAGGGGGGGGGGGGGGGCGGGACCCTTTTCTTGGCCTCCAGGGCGTCCGCGCCATCACGGAAGGCTTTGCGCGGCATTGCCAGAGCTGCACTCTTTGTTACCGATGAACCGACACCAACAGGCCCACAGCCTCTCTGAACTTGACTTTGGGACAACCGGAAGCACGCGCTTCTCTAAAACAGCTGCACCAGGGGGTCAAAAATCAAGGAAGTGAGCATGGGCCTCGCTGCGCAAAACAAACTCGAAACCCTAAACTTTAGGGTTTAGGGTTTAGGGTTTAGGGTTTAGGGATTAGGGTTTAGGGTTTAGGGTTTAGGGTTTAGAGTTTAGGGTTTAGGGTTCCCTTTAGTATGCCTCTTTTGGTGTTTGGGGATTAGGACGTTCCAACTTGTTGGAGCTGACTGTACTCCACAAGCCCCCGAAACAAGTCCTCATACATCCTGAAGCAGAAACCAAACCATACACTCTCACAATTCCAAAACCCTGAACATTAAGCCTAGGCCCTAAAACAAAACCAACTCCAAGCCCAAAGCCCTAAGTCCAACGACCAAACCATCCCAATATTCGCCCACATACATACACATACACATACACATACACATACACATACACATACACATACACATATACATACACATACACATACACATACACATACACATACACATACACATACACATACACATACACATACACATACACATACACACACATACACATGCACATGCACATGCACATACACACACACATACACCTATACCTATACCTATGCCTATACATATACCTATACATATACACATACATATACATATACAATATACATATACATATACATGTACATATAGACATACATATAGACATACACATACATATACATATACATTTACATATACATACTCTGCGCCTTCCCAACCCTAAACTCTAAACGATGAACCCTAAACCCTGAACCCAGAATCCTGTAGCCGGGCTCACCCTCTTCCGGCGGGCAGGCAGATCGACTTTTGACCACACATGCCGGCACGTGGATCAGTCGTCGTCATCGTACTCCTCGTGGAGCACCTGCCGAGATCGGGGGTCTCTTGGCTCCCTGAGCTTTAAGAACCTTCCCCAAGCACCTTCAAACCTCGAAAAAAGGATGCTCCTGAACTATGATCCGTTTAAACCAACTTGGAAAAACATGCAAGACGCAAGAAAACCTACCTAGGCGCAGCGTCTGCTACCGCCACTGCTGGCCTCCTTCAGCTCGAGGCGGATCATGGTCTGGTCGTCGCCTTGGAGGGCGTCCTCAGCAGGTTCATTCTGGGGTTCAAGCTGGGATGTTCCCCCTTAACAAAACACCCCAAACGACCCACCAAACCCTAAACCCCAAACCCTAAACCCTGAACCCTAAACCCTGAACCCTAAACCCTGAACCCTAAACCCTAAACCCTAAACCCTAGCCCAAAGCCCTAAACCAGTGTCCTTCTCGAAGCGGCACTCCACCCGCAGCTGCAGCTGCTCGAGGCAGCCGCGGATGACGCCGCACAGCAGGTTGGAGTACCTGCCCAGAGACTCCCATACCCCTAAACCCTAAACCCTAAACCCTAAACCCTAAACCCAAATCCCTAAACCCTAAACCCTAAACCCTAAACCCTAAACCCTAAACCCTAAACCCTTCATTAAGGAAGATTCCTTGAAACCTATAAGGAACCCTGTCGTCTTTAAGGAAGATTCCTTAAAACCTATGAGGAACCCTCTTGCCTCTAAGGAAGATTCCTTAAAAGATGTAAGGAAACCTCTTGCCTTTAAGGAATATTCTTTAAAACCGATAAGGAACCCTCTTGCCTTTAAGGAAGATTCCTTAAAACCTATAAGGAACCCTCTTGCCTTTAAGGAAGACTCCTTCAAACATATCAGGAACCCTCTTGTGTTTAAGGAAGATTCCTCAAACATATAAGGAACCCTCTTGTACTTAAGGAATAGTCCCTATTTACAGTCCCACAAATAAAGCAAATGGCCAAGAGCCATACTTGTTATGGTAATAGCAATGACAACAATGGCAAGATCAACAGGAGCAAAAAAAGTATTCATAGTAATATCATAGAAAATAATGATACTGAGAATACGAAGGAAAAAATCGGATAGCACTTATGGTAACACTAACAATAGCAACAACGGCGAGAAGCAGCAGGTACGGCAGCAATAGCAGAAGGAATACTGCTGGGATCAATGTCAAGGGCTAATTACAAGACGACAAAGGCTAGGTACCTTTCAGGGCTTCAAGTCCGTTCAGGTGCCTTCTTGGGTTTGATAAGGGGGTTAGGGTTTAGGGTATATGGTTTAGGGTTTAGACTTCGCGTTTAGGGTTTAGGGTTTAGGGTTTAGGGTTTAGGGTTTAGGGTTTAGGGTTTAGGGCTTAGGGCTTAGGGCTTGGGGCTTGGGGCTTAGGGCTTCAGGGCCATGGACAAACCTCAGGCCGCCCAACAAGGGGCACCAGAGCTTGTTCACCAAGTTCGCCGGCAGCTCCACATACCTCACTGGCTCATCCTTTTTGGGCTTCGGGTTCAGGGTTCAGGGTTCAGGGTTCAGCGTTCAGGGTTCCGGGTTCAGGGTTTAGGGTTTAGGGTTTGGGGTTTAGGAATGCAATGTAAAACCTACTTACAAGGTTCGCTGAGCTCTTATGTACTGGCGCCAGCGTCTGCTCTGGAGATTTGCAATAAACCCCAACTCCCCGAATTGCCTACTTGGAGGTTCATGGGACTTATTAACCAATCATAACTGTACTTATAACTGTACTTGTAACCATATTAGGGCATAAGTACAGTTATTGTTGGTTAATAAGTACCATGAACCTCCAAGTACCAACAGCCAGAAAGATACTCCGCCAGCGGGTTCTCCGCCAACACCAGGGAGCAGGCAGTCATTTCCTGACAGGCAAAAGACTTGAAGTTGGGGTCAAGGTTTAGGGTTTGGGGTTTAGGGCTTAGTTGGGTTCAGGGTTTAGGGTTTGAAGCTTAGAGTGCAGGCCCGACAAGGGAACCCCCGCACTTTGAACAACTCCCAACATCAAGAACACGTGTATGCACACCTCATTCTAAGCCCTGAACCCTGAACCCTATCGCCAGCCTCCTTGCCCGTGGATCGACCGACCACACAAGTCCGGACGAACCCTGAACCCTGAACCCTAAACCTTGCAAGGGTTCCAGACTCCGCACACCCGAAGAAGCGGCCCCGATTCCAACCCTGCGCGCTTTTTTTCTGGGGTGTGGGTTTTGGACTTGCAAGCTTCGGCTTTAAGGGCTTTGGGTTTAGGGCTGAGGGTCCAGGGTCAGGGTTTAGGGTTTAGGGTTTGGGTTCGAGGTTTGGGGTTTAGAGTTTAGGGTTTAGGGTTTAGGGTTTCGGTTTTAGGGTGTAGGGTTTGGGGTGTAGGGTTTAGGGTTTAGGGTTCAGGGTTCAGGGTTCAGGGTTCAGGGTTTAGGGTTTAGGATTTAGGGCTTAGCCCTAAACACCTCGCAAACACCCCGCCACCAGAGCCTTGTTCCACATGACGACCTCCGCACCCACACCCAGGAACATCCGGAGGCCGACCTCTTCAGGAAGGCGCGCTTTTTAAGGGGCTTTTTGCGGGGCGCTTAGGGCTGTTGGGGGCTGATAGGGCTGATAGGGCTGATAGGGCTGCTGTGAAGTTTTTTAGGGCTTTGAGGATTTAGCATTTAGGCTTCAGGGATGCTTAGGGTTTAGGGTTTTAGGGTTTAGGTTTTCAAGTGCCTTTGGGGGGGCCTTTGAAAGCTTGGAGCTGTTTAAGACTGGTCCGGGCCTTGAAGGGTTTGGGGCGTTAAGGGTCTTTTAAGGTCTCAGGGCTTAGGGCCTCCAACACTTCTTTGTTTCGGTGTTCGGGCTTTCAGGACTGTAGGGCTTTGGATTCAGGATTTGGGGAGGGGGTGGGGTGGGGGCTTGCCGGCCACATCGACGCATGTTTTCTTGAAGGAGCCGTCCCGTGTCTCCGGAAGCCCAGGCTCACGGATCCAAAACTGCTTTCACTCAAGCAGCTTTTCAAGCGGCCGCCCAAAGAATCCCATAACACTAAGAAAATATATAGTTCACTCAATCCATAAACCTTAATTTGACTCCATTCCCTAGGCCCTTCACCACACACCTGAAAAAGGCACAAAATTCGTGGGCAAGCCCCAAAACCGTAAAATTTGCTTCCTTGCCCACGACGATTTGTGCCTTGCGCACGAAGATTTGTGCCTTGTCCACGAAGATTTGTGCCTTGCCCACGAAGATTTGCGCCTTGCCCATGAAGATTTGTGCCTTGCCCACGAAGATTTGCGCCTTGCCCATGAAGATTTGTGCCTTGCCCACGAAGATTTGTGCCTTGCCCACGAAGATTTGTGCCTTGCCGAAGATTTGCGCCTTGCCCACGAAGATTTGTGCCTTGCCCACGAAGATTCGTGCTGTGCGGGCTGCGCCAGGGGAAAGAAAGCCAGCGGTTTTGGTTTAAGGTGTAGAGAAGAGCTTGAGGGACCAAGGAACGTACATATAAGGGCTTCATATTCCAGAGGTTCCTCCTCGTATCTCAATGTCGGCTATCCCAGACTGCAACAAGCTCCTTGCATGCAAAGGGCAGATACACGTGGCTGTTTATCCCAAGGTTAGGCTTACCTGCCAGCCGGCCTTGGCAACGACCTCAGCTGTCTCTCGGAAGTCCTGGCACGCCTGGGTTTCCGGCCATCTTGTGGGCATTGTGCATGGGGCTTTGTTCTGGAGGCTTAACAGCCTTCCCCCCAAATCCTAAATACTGAACCTTTTAAGCCCACGCTCGAAGGCCCCTTGCACCCTTGGCTCAAGGTTCGGGATGTGGGGTGTAGGGTTCCCACAGGTCATTAGGGGTTTCCAAGGTTTTTGGTACCGGCTTAGGGTTTCAGGGTCCCAACATCTACATCCAGAGGCACATGGCAGTCAACCGCAGGTACGTGCAGTTGCCTTTAGCTTCAGGTTGCTGCCATGTATTCCCATGCTCTCATCTCATATACCCTTCTGAACCATAAAGTCCGAAACCCTAAATCCCTAAACCCTGACTTTCCCTAAACCTTAAACCCCGAAATACCTACATCCCTGAACCCCCAAGTCCCTCAATGCTTATTGGGGCGCTGCACCAGCTCCCAACATCTCATGGCAAAAAGAATCCACCCCTAAAAAACGCCCGAAGAAGCCCTACAAAAAAAAAACCTTATTAACAAAAAAAAAAACTTATGAACCCCTAAAAACCCTTCGGAAACCCCTTAGAAACCCCTTATCACCCCTAAAAAAACCCCAGAAACCCCCAAAAAAAAAAACCTTATCAACCGCTTATAAACCCCTGAAAACCCCTATAAACCCCTCCCCAAAAAAGGCAAAAGGGCTTTTTCACGTTAAAAAACCCTTACAAACCCCCTTATGAACCCCTGAAAAAAGCCCTATAAACCCCTCAACCCTAAACCCTAAACCCTAGACCCTAAACCCTAAACCCTAAACCCGAGACCCTAAACCCTTTCCCCTAAACCCCAAAAAAAAGGCCCCAAAGCCGGGCCACAGTGACGCCACTCTTGGCCAGGAACTCGTCGATGAGGCGCAGGCCGATGTTGTAGCCTAGGCTCAGAGTTTAGGGTTTAGGGTTTAGGGTTTAGGGTTTAGGGTTTGGGGATTAGGGCTTAGGGTTTAGAGGTTTAGGGCTTAAAGGTTTAGGGTTTAGGGTGCTATTCCCCCTGACTACTCCGGCTAGAGCAATGAGCAACCATGGAAAATCCTCCACCTCTTATCCTAAACCCTAAACTCTAAACCCTAAACCCTAAACCCAGTCCTTAGGGTTCAGGGTTTAGGGTTCAGGGTTTAGGGTTTAGGGTTTAGGGGTAGGGATTATAGTACCCCCCCCCCAGTATAATCCCCACTAAGGACTGTTAGTGTAAGGGGGAACAACCCAACCAAACCCCAACGAAGCCGCAAAAAACAATGAAAAAAAGGACGTGGGCACAAAACTAAACCCCCAAACCGTAAGATTTAAATCCTATACCCCCTCAACCCTACAAAACCCTAAACCCTCCTAAGCCCCCCCTAGCCCTCAACCCTAAACCCCTACAACCCTACTTTCCACTGCAAGCACCCTCGAATCTGCACCCAGATCGCCAGAGCCCGACAGTTGGATATTATATTATAATATATTATATCATTTCTAAGTTACCTCAACAGTCAAAAAGATTCCTACTCAGCGAGAAAAAACCGGGCGGTCAAGCCCCTGGTTGCCCCTCTTCCCTTTCGGTTAAGCGCCGCCGGGGGTCCCATCTTGTCCAACTGCGCGTTGACTGCCTCCGCCTCGGGGTTAAGTCTCCCTCCCTCTCTTTCTCCTCCTAAAGCTCTAAACCCCCAATCTTTCTCAAACCCAACTTCTCTCACCCATCGAACCTGGCCTATAAAGCACCCATCTCTCTGTCCTACCCTCAGCCAAACCCATGTCAGAAAGCAGCAGAGCGGAAAGGGGGGGATGGTTGCGGAGGCGGGGCTCAGGGTTGGTCCTGGGAAGCACAGGGGTTTCTCTTCATCTTGTGGGAACCAAAGTGGGTATTTCCCAAAACAGGGGCACCTCTTTTCCACACCAAAAAAGAACAGATCTCCCAGTCAGGAAACACCCAAGGGCAGACATACCAAAAGAAGGTGTGGCCGAGCGCCCTGCATCTTCCATGTCCTTGAGGAGCTGCGTCACCAGGGATCCGTAGGTCAGCAGGAAGAGGTCCGCATTGACCTGTTACAGGGTTTAGGGTTCAAGGTTCAGGGTGTTGGGATGTTTTGGGCTTTTGGGGCTAGCATCCCAAGATTGGACTGTTTGTTGAGAGCACAGCGCCAAGGCCGTTTGAGGGCCTGTCAGGGTTCTGACAGTCTGCCAACCGGGCCCTAAACCCAAAACCCTAAACCCTAAACCCTGAACCCTAAACGCCTTCTCCATCCTGCTGAAGGCCGCGTCCCCAAGCTTGCCATACTTGTCCACCGGCCGCGACATGGGGAGGCGAATGTCGAAGCCCCCTGCGAGCTCTACGTGTGTTTGGGGGGGGATCTTGGGTGGCGCGAGTCTCATGGAAGCATCTTCAGGAGAGCTGCACCTGACGCACGTGGGTCCCGACTCGACGGTCAGTCGTCCTCCCTCTCAAATCTCGAGTTCTCGGAAGGGCGGGGCCGGGGGGGGGGGGTCCTTTGCATGCGGGCGCTATCCTGTTTCGTGGCCATGAACACTTCTTGAACCAACATGGCATCACTTCTGAAGCGCATCAGCCCAAGCTGAACAAGAGGGAATCGGGCCCCGAAGTCCCACAGTCCCCAACTCCCACACAAGACCAGCCCTGCTGCTTGGGGAGGAATACGGTAAAAGAGGGCCCAACTCTTTGCCAGTGGGCTGCAAAGCTCCCGAAACCGTCCTATCACTGCACAGAAACTCTGTAATCCTCACTGCTCGACAGTGGCCCTCGGAACTCGGAACCCTCCCAAGGTTCAGAATACTCCTAACCCAATGATAACTGCAGATCTAAGCCCCCTAAGTCCTCTAAGTAGGTTATAAGTAGACTTCTCATTCGGGTTATAAGTGCCGATGAACCTCCAAGTACTCTTAACTAGGACCATAGGATCCCCGTCAACCCAACAAGAAGACTTGCAGCGACTTCGAAAGGCCTGGCTGGCACCTCATGGCCACCCTAAACCCTGAACCCTGAACCCTAAACCCTAAGCCTCAAACCCTTTACCCCTAAACCCTCCAAACCCTATACCCTAAACCCTCCAAACCCTAAACCATAAACCTCAAAGCCCTACACCCTAAATCCTAAGTCCTAAGCCGCCCACCGGACCTAAGCCCTAGAAGCGCTGAACTTGGGATGTTTGGGTTTAGGGTTTAGGGTTTAGGGTTTAGGGTTTAGGGTTTTAGGGTTTAGGGTTCCTTAATGGGGCTTATAGTACCACGCCTATTAGAAAAGGACTGCTAGTATAAGGGGGAGCATCCCAATATCAAATCTCCATCCACCAGAACTGAGGACAGCTGGTTGGAGTCTTTAAGTACAAGTAGGTCGCACAAGTCATCGACCCAAGTGGAGTCCCTAAACCCTAAACGCTGAACCCGAAATGTCCAACCTCCTTGGGCCGGCGCATGCATCAGAGCGCTCTGACCCCGTTCATCGACCTGAGAAATCAGAGTTGTGGATTCGGGTTTCGGGCTTGGGGTTTAGTAGGGTTTAGGGTTGAGGTTTTATGGTTTAGGGCTTAGGGTTTAGTAGGGTTTAGGGTTGAGGGTTAAGGTTTTCAGAAAAGGGCGATCTCATTGGGGGGGGGGGGGGGAAGGGGGGCAGAGTTGTGGGCTCTTCCCCCGCCTCCATACTGCCGAGTCTAAAACCCTAAAACCCTTGAAAACCCTGAACCCTTAACAAGGAAACCCTGGAAACCCTGAACCCGAAGCCTCGAATCCTAAACCCTAAACCTTAAACCCCGAAACCCTAAAAGCCCTGAACCCTGAACCTTAAAACCCTAACCCTAAACCCTAAACCCTAAGCCCTGAACCCTAAACCCTAAGCCCCCCAACCTGGTTGACGGAGCTGCCGTGCCGCAGCAGCAGCTCGAGGATGGGATTGGGCGCCGGGCGGCCCTCCTCCGAGGCTTCGGAGAGGCACTTGGTGTTTAGGTTTAGGGTTTAGGGTTGAGGGTTTAGGGTTTAGGGTTTAGGGTTTAGGGTTTGGGGTTTAGCGTTTAGGCTTTTTGCTAAGGTTTTTTGGGTTCTCTGTTTTGTTTTTTGTTTTTTTTTTTTTGGCTTCTGGTTTTCTGGCGTTCAGGGTGTTTAGGTGTTTTTCGGGCTTTTGGGGTTCTTTTTTGGTTTTTGTTAGGGGATCGAGGGATTCATGTGAGGGTGTACAGGGCTATTGGGCTTGAAGGGCTTCTAGGGCTTTTGAGCGTTGAGGTTGTATGGAGTTTTAGGGTTCGCTTTTGTTCTTGGTTTTGTGTGTGTGTGTTGTCTTTTCTCTGCTGTTTTTCTTTTTTTTTTTTTTTGGGGGGGGGGGGGGGCGGGGGAGGGGGCGCTTCTTGTTGTGGAAACGTGTTTCTTCCTAGCAAGATGTTCAAGTTCCCTGGTTCTATCTCGTTTGGGACCTAGGGCCCAAGGCTTACCCGCAACCCTAAGCCCTTAAGCCCGAAAACCCAAGCCTTCAAACGCTAAACCCCTAAACGCAACAACCCAAACCATGAAGACTAAACCTTGCACACTTAAACCTTGGGATGTTCCCCCATTATGCTGACAGTCCTTTGCAGGGATTATAGTACCCCCCCAAAAAAGAATCTCAAGTATGGACTGCTAGTACGGGGGAACATCCCAATCCCTTAACCCTAGACCCTCCAGGGTCCGTGTCCACGTAGTCGATGCGCGCAGCCCACATCATCAGCGTTTGCCGCCCTCGGTCGTCTGCGACCTAGAAGCCCCAGAGAGCCCAATGCTCCGCAATATCAGGAGAAGCACCATGTCGTTAAAGGGAAACTATACTTCTCACTCAGGAAACAGCCAGCATGACCCAACTTCGGGCACCTGTTACCTCTTGCAAGTGGGGCCGTAAACCCCACCCCCCCCGCCCCTTCCCCCCCTCCAAGAAAAGGAGGATCAGCGCAGCGCGACAAAAAAAAAAAACACGACCACAACTCGTTGCAGCGAGTCCAAGCATTATGCTTGCATGTACAGTGTAGATGTCACATTCATATGCACAGGTCCACATAAACATACTTTATGTATCCAAGTATACGCAATTGCATGTATGACTCTATGTTTGTAAATATATATATATATATATATATATATATATATATGTATGTATATGTATATGTATATGTATACGTATATGTATATGTATATGTACATGTACATGTATATGCATATATATATATACATATATTTGCGGGCACTCTGGGGACAGGTTTCGGCCGAGTTCGGTTCGGGACCCGCACCTCGTCCGCATTGCACCGCGCCTGCAGAGTTGATCTTGCCGTGGAGCTCTGAAGCAAGGGTTTAGGGTTTAGGGTTCAGGGTTCAGGGTTCAGGGTTCAGGGTTTCGGGTTTTGGGTTTTGGGTTTGGGGTTCAGGGTAAATCCACATGCGCCCAATTCGTTTGATAGGGGCCCGAAGGGATCAAGAGCAAAGGGTCAGGTGGAACATGGTGGAAAGTTGCGGGAACAGGAGCCTAGATCAAGGAGTACCGATTCCTTCTGCCTGCAGACTCCAAGCCGCTACATGCGCCTAACCCTAAACCCTAAACCCTAAACCCTAAAACCCTGAAACCCTAAACAACAAACTCTAAACCCAAAACCTTAAATCCTAGCACCACTTCCACGTTCGAAAGTAGAACGGGCACTTCCGCCTCCAGCAGAAGCTCAGCACAGCCGACGGAACTGTGTGCACAGGCCTCGCCCCCGCCCCGCCCAAACCCACCCCCCAAGGGTTTAGGGTTTTGGGTTTAAGGCTTTAGGTTTTGGGTTTAGGGTTTAGGGTTCAAACCTGAGCCCCAAACCAAACACCCTAAACCCAAATCTTTTTTTGCCATGCACTGGGTCACTGAGTGTGGGGACCCAGTGGACTTGCCCCGGCATGTAACGGTCCCAGGCAGTTGAGGCGGCGCTTGCATGCATGCGCGGATTTATTTCGGGTTTAGGGTTTAGGGCAACACCAAAGCCGAATGCCCTATTGCTGAAGGCCCCATGAGTGCAGGGCAGTCTGCCCAATGGCCTCTGCTTTCGGGCCAACCCTCAACCCTCGCTTGTAAAGGCTTCGGGGTTGAGGTTAAGGGTTGAGGCTTCTCCAAGAGCCCAACATCCCTTAATTAAGAAACGATCTTGAATATGATTTAACCGTATACATCCGCAATTCGGGGGTGTTGGGCTCTTTGGGTTTAGGGTTTAGGGCTCAGGGTATAGGGTTTAGGGTTTAGGGTTTGGGGTTTGGGGTTTAGGGTTTAGGGTTTGGGGTTTGGGGTTTAGGGTTTAGGGTTTAGGGTTTAGGGTTTAGGGGTCCGTACCCAGGGCTGCACACCCTCCAAAGCTGGGGTTCCAACGGCCGCGAGGCAGGACACGCCCTTGGCACCCACCTGATTCTGGTGGAAGAATGAGATTCAGGGCTTAGGGTTTAGGGTTTAGGGTTTAGGGTTTAGGGTTTAGGGTTTAGGGTTTAGGGTTTAGGGTTTGGGGAAAAATGAAATTGGGCAGCGATTTTTTTCTTATGCTCCCCCCGCTTTTTCTTATGCGGTCTGCCCCGGCGATTTTTTTCTTATGCTCCGCCACTTTTTTAATTATGCTCCGCCCCCCCCCCATTATGCTGGAAGGTGCTTTTTCTTATGCTGAAGGTGCCCTTTTTTATGCAACAGATGTCGGGGGTTATGCTATCGGTTTCCCCCCCGAACCCTTGAAATTCTGAAATTCTGGAGCTCTAGAACCCTGTGAAGGCGCTTAAGGGTGTGTGTGTGTGTGTGTGTGTGTGTGTGTGTGTGTGTGTGTGTGTGTGTGTGTGTGTGTGTGTGTGTGTGTGTCTGCGTGTGTCTGCGTGTGTCTGCGTGTGTCTGCGTGTGTCTGCGTGTGTCTGCGTGTGTCTGCGTGTGTCTGCGTGTGTCTGCGTGTGTCTGCGTGTGTGTGCGTGTGTCTGCGTGTGTCTGCGTGTGTCTGCGTGTGTCTGCGTGTGTCTGCGTGTGTCTGCGTGTGTCTGCGTGTGTCTGCGTGTGTCTGCGTGTGTCTGCGTGTGTCTGCGTGTGTCTGCGTGTGTCTGCGTGTGTCTGCGTGTGTCTGCGTGTGTCTGCGTGTGTCTGCGTGTGTCTGCGTGTGTCTGCGTGTGTCTGCGTGTGTCTGCGTGTGTCTGCGTGTGTCTGCGTGTGTCTGCGTGTGTCTGCGTGTGTCTGCGTGTGTCTGCGTGTGTCTGCGTGTGTCTGCGTGTGTCTGCGTGTGTCTGCGTGTGTG